GCGCGGGGGTCCCTGCCTGCCTTCTTTGATCGCTGAGTCGGAAAGATGTGTGCCGAAATACACCCCGCTGGTCAGAGGGCGCACAGCTTGTTCAAGGGCAAAAGACGCAGGATCTGGCTCGGGGGAGTGATTTCAAAATGTGCACAGTAAACAGGTCTTGGCGCTCCACCCTCCATCAAAGAAACCCAAATCAAAAGCACACACTAGTGTTTTTTTGTTTTTTTTAATCTACTGGATTGGCCAAGCTTTTTGAGGTTGTTAATCCTGGATGTTGACCAGGTGTGGGGAAATGCTGCTATCCAGAATGTCATTTGTGTAATGGTGTAGGAAGGTTAATTCGACATGATAATAGTTTAATTGCTTTCACTCTTTAATTCAATTTCACTACCAGGAAATTAGACAACAGTTATTGTTTTACAGCAAACGTCAAAGATTTATCTGGTTGCAGCACAATGCTCTGGGGGGGTGGGGGGTGGTGAAAAGAACAAGGAACAGGAAACAATGTAATTACCTGTGAGTGGATCACTGCCTCCTGGCAGCAGCCACTGACTTTTGGTGACCTTTGGCACCGCAACAAAAAACAAGCATGTTCTATGATGCTCAACATATTCTGTGTTGGTAGTGGCTTCTGGCTCTAAGCAGTGAGATCCATGGGCTTTTTTTTAATGGCTGTAAGCTTGGGAAGTTGATCTTCTTTTCTGTGACACTGCTGGACGAAGTCCATCCACCAACCTTCGGGGTTAGTAGTTGAGCTCGGGCCCCTTTTGCCACTCAGGGACCTGGCCCATTGGATTGTAAATAATTACAGTAAATGCTGTGGAAGCTGGAACCCTATAAGGCAGAAACTTGTCAGGAAAGGAAAACACGAATATTTTCCAGTTAGAAAAAGTGATGATTAACACCCTGCCCAAGACGTAAAACTTGCGAGACTTAGGAAGACAGCCCTGTTGAGTTCAGCTCTTACTTGTCTCACTGTGTATGTTCAAGAGTTAACATTTTTTATTCTGAACATCCTTAAATACACAAAGGACAGGACATTACACTAACTCTGGATAAATCCATCACCCAGATGCCACCGTTACCAAGATGTTTCTGTCTTTGATTCTTCTCTGTCTTTGGCCGATTTCCTGGAATATTTGGAAGCAAAATTTCAAACCCCATATCATTTACCACTATATACTTAAGCACTGTCGAGCTTCATTTTATATCACCACAGACCATGGTCATAGCTATCAAAATCACATGGGCGTTGTCATGCCCAAATGGTCATTGGGTGTCTCCAATGGCCTCCATGATTTAAGTTGCTTGGTTTGAGCTGGCAGCCTAAAAGGCCGACCTTTTGCTTTGTATGATGGGTTTGGTTGCATGTTACCAGGCTTTCTACTCCTGTAAACCGTTAGTGTCTCAGAAACTCTTAAGTGGCAGTTCCACCCTGTCCTATGGGGTCACTATGAGTCCGCATCAACTTGATGGCAGTGTGCTCTTATGTGTACCAGAGAAGCCCACAGGGGGTCACTACGAGTCAGCATGGACAGTGAATTTGGTTTGGGGTTTAGAGAAGAGCCGCCTTGGTGCTGTAGTGAGTTATGTGTTCAAACTACCAGCTGCTCCTTAGGAGAAGGATGAGGCTGTGTGCTTCTGTTAAGTATTTCCAGTCTCGGAAACCCACGAGGGCAGTTCTACCCCATCCTATAGGATCATTATGAGTCGGGATCAACTGGATGGCATGAGTTTGGTTTCTGGGTACGTACCAGAAAACTCTGCTGGTAAGATCTTAACATAAATAACAAAGGAAATAGATGACCTTACTCAAAAGCCATTCCCATGACTCCTCGGCTATACCAACCACCTCTGGCAACAACCTCTCAGCAAAAAATCTTTGATGCCAAGTCCCTGCGGCTATGGGTCCTGTTCACAGTGGCATCTATGCACATCAGCAAACAGATGGCAACCTGAAGCAGATCCACATTCTACACCTGTCTGCTCGCTCTATGCTGTCATGATGACATGTTCCATTCATCATGTTCCACGATGAGTGAAGTTAGGGAACAGTCTACCAAGGAGCCCTGTTGATACAGTGGGTTAAGTGCAGGGCCACTAACAAAAAGGATGGTAGTTTTAACCCACCCCTGGCTTTGAGGGAGGAAGATATGGCAGTCTGCTCCCCTTGTGAGATCTACAGACTTGGAAACCCTGTGGAACAATCCTCCTCTGTCCTATAGACTCGCTATGGCTGGGTATCAACTCGGCGAGCAGTGGAGTTTGGGGAGCATTCAGGAGAGCACAGGTGTCCAATAGAGCCTTGTGTGTGATGGAAATAGTCTCCCTTCGCTATCCACTCCTGTAGTCACTAGCCACATCTGACCACTGAGCATTTTAAAGGTGACTAGGGTAGTCCCAGTGAGGAACTGAATTTACATTCTATTTCATTTGAATGGAATTAAAAAGCCTCATGAGGCTACCATATCGGACAACACAGCTCTAGTGACTTGATTAGATTCCATGTCAACTTGTTGGGCCCCAACCCACTGCCATTTGAGTTGGTTCTGACTCATGTCGTCGTTAGGTAGCATCGAGTCAGTTCTGACTCTTGGCGACCCCATGCGCACCAGAATAAAGCACTGCCCGGTCCTGTGTCATCCTTACGGTTGTTCCTATACTTGAGCCCATTGTTGCAACCACGGCCCCAATCCATTTTGTCCAGGGCTTTTCTCTCTCACTGCCACTCTACCCTACCAAGCATGATGTCCTTCTCCAGGGACTGGTCTCTCCTGACAGTGTGTCTAACATATGTAAGAGAAGTCTTGCCATCCTTGCTACTAGGGAGTACTCTGGCTGTACTTTTTCCAAGACAGATCTGTATGTTCATTTGGCAGTCCAAGATACTTTCAACATTCTTCACCACCACCACAGTTCAAATGCACAGATTCTCCTTTGCTCTTCCTTATTCAATGTCCAACTTTCACTTGCATAGGAGGCGATTGAAAATACTGTGGTTTGGGTTAAGCGCACCTTAGTGCTCAAAGTAACATTCTTGCTCTTCAACACTTTGAAGAGGTCTTGTGCAGCAGATTTGCCTAAGGCAGTGGTTCTAAACCTTCCTAAAGACAGCAACCCTTTAATACAGTTCCTCATGTTGTGGTGAACCCCCAACCATAAAATTATTTTCGTTGCTACTTCATAACTGTAATTTTGCTACTGTTATGAATCAGGCGGCCCCTGTGAAAGGGTCATTCAACCCCCATAGGGGTCTCCACTCACAGGTTGAGAACCGCTGGCCTAAGGCATCATTTCATCTCTTGACTGCTGCTTCCATGAGCACTGGTTGTGGATCCAAGCAAAACCAAATCCTCGACGACTTCAATCTTATCCATGTGTCATCATGTTACCTACTGGTCCAGTGGTGAGTGGTTTTCTTTGCAATGAGTTGTCATCCACACGGAAGGCTGCAATCTTTGCTCTTCATCAGCAAGTGCTTCAAGCCCACTTCCAGCAAACAAGGTGTGTCACCCGCATACTGGAGGTTGTTCATAAGCCTTCCTTCAGTCCTGATGCTGACTCATAATGTGCTTCATAAGCCAAACTCTCTGCCGTTGTGTCCAATTCCGGCCCGCTGACATGTCATAGACGGTAGAACTGCCCAGTTGGGTTTCCAAGACTGTAATCCTCACTGCAGCAGACTAAGTCTTTGTCTCACAGAGTTGCTGGTGGATTTGAACCACCCACCTTTAGATTGGCAGCCTAGTACTTAACCACTGGGCTACCAGGGCTTATCAAGGACTTAATATCCCTAAACCAAACCCACTGTCATTGAGTTGGTTCTAACTCATAGTGACCCTCTATAGCAGTGGCTCTCATCCTGTGGGTCTCGAACCCTCTGGAGTCGAATGACCCTTTCTCAAGGGTGCCTAAGACCATCGGAAACCCGTATTTCTGATGTTCTTAGGAACCGAAACACTGCTCCTCTATCCATCTCCAGGCGGGCCAGCCCACCTGCAGACACACCCAAATATGAGTACCCTGCGTGAAGACTGTTACCATGCTACACCCATGCTTCAAGACAACATTTCATTTATTCGTCATTAGAAATAAATATTTCACAAGATATAATTACATATTGTTTTTGTGATGAATCACTATGCTTTAAGTTCAATTTGTAATAATGAAAATACATCCTGCATAGCAGATATTTTACAGTAGGATTCATAACATTAGCAAAATGACAGTTATAAAGTAGCAAGGAGAATAATTTTGTGGTTGGGGGTCACCACAACATGAGGAACTGTATGAAAGGGTCCCAGCGTTAGGAAGGTTGAGATGCGCTGCTCTATAGGGTTTCTGAGGTTACAGACTGCCTCATCTGTCCCCCTTGGAATGGCTGCTGAGTTTGAACCACTGACCTTGCAGTTATCAGTCCCACACTTACCCATTAGGGGCACCAGGGTGCTTATTCGGCATCTAAGACCTGTGATGTCACCTACAGTGACGGTAGGATTGATTAGCTGGTTCCTAGGGTAATAACTTGCTCCTTTAGTATAAAGTTCACCCCAAAGGATGTGGCTTTAACATCAAAGTGACACACACACCCCCACCTCGTAAACATCAACCCCACCAGACATGGCTTCCATGAAGTTCAGGACCAGAGAAAAAGCTTCCATGTGATGCTTTGAACACGCCTGTGCAATCGCAGCTTTTGTTCCTTCCCTGCTCACTAACTCTGGGAAATTCCCACTTGGCACCTGTCAGTTTCCTTGGCGAGGGTCAGGATGCCAGCAGGATGTGCTGATGTGCCAGTCCTGCACCACCAACGTCCCTACTGGCAGAGACACTGGGGGTAGAAGTTATTCATCAAGATCTGTTTCCTGCCACCATGCAGGACCAGTGCAGGTAATTAAGTCAACCTCTTAAAACTGTGGTCCTTTGACTGGCTTCCTGTGGCCACTTGTAAAGGTGGGAGAGTCTCACTTCTTTGCAGAATTGTCCGGAGGTAGCATGTATGTAGCAACGTCCTGCTGTCCATGGCAGCTGGCAACCTTGGCCATGCTGGGGGGTCAGGAGTGAATGGGAAGATTCCATGCCAGCTCATTTTTCACCCCAGGGGTAGACGAGCAGAAGTTGCTGTGCCCAACACTTTCTCATTCTGTGAGCATAGTTCTGCCCCTTACCCACGAGCTCCTAGACACTGGCTGGCTCCCTTCTGCATTTAGCTCCACTCAAAGATGTTCATTGAGGGTCTGTTCTGCTAGCTGTTTAAGGAGCCCTGGTGTCACCGTGGTTACACACTTAGTTGCAAGCCACAAGTCCACCGGCAGCTTTGGGGGAGGAAGATGTGTTGGTCTGCTTCCATAAAGATTTACAGCCTTGGCACCCTATGGGGACAGTCCTACCCTGTCCTCGAGGGTCACTAGGAATCGTAATGGATTCGATGACAGTGGGGTAAGTTATCTGCAAACCAGGTGCTCAGAATTTAAGCTCTAATATAATTCTCTCCTCTGATCATGGATTTTATTATTTATAATCCTTGGATCACACAGGCTGGTGTGTTTCTTCTATGCAGAGTTACGTGAGTCACTTAGATGTGTGCTTGTTTTAAGACAAGACTTTATGATGCTGTTTTTTTTCCGGATAGCTGGGCAGCCCAACACATAACTCACTATGCCACGAGGACTCTAAATCAGTGACAGTATCTGAACTAAACCCCTCACATATGACGTTGCCCCTCCCTTACTTTTCCATCCTTATTTCTCCCCCCACCCCTTGTCATAGTCTTCAAAGTCTTACCCTTTAGTGTGAAAACCATTTATCTTTCCTTTATAATAATGGTGTCATAAAACATTTATCTCTATGAGATTGACTAACTTTGCTGAGCATGATGTTCTCTGATTTTGTCTGTCTTTAGGTGTTTGACAGAGTTGTCGTTGTTTCTTAAGGATGTGTAATATTCCATTGTATGCATGTTCCAGTGTTTGTTTATCCATTCCTCTGGAATCATGGTTTTTAATTAATTTTTTTCTCATCTTTTTTCTATTATAGAAATTGTTGGAATAAACATAGGAGTGCATATGTCTATTCCTATTTTGTTCTTTTTTTTAGTATATACTAAGTAGAGAGATGGCTGGATCATAACGTGTGTGTATTTACATTTGTTTAAGGGAGCACTCTATTGCTTTGCGTAGTGGTTGTACAATTCTATAACCCCATCAGCAATATATAAGCATTCTAATCTTTCTACATCCTCACCAGCATTTATTGTTTTCTGTTATTTTTTTTATTTTGCTAAGAGTGAAGTGGTATTTCATTGTTGTTTTAATTTGTATTTCTCTTATGGTTAATGAACAAGAACATTATTTCCCCCCTTGATACTTAAATTTTATTGTATTTATTTTTTAAATATTTTATTGGCATCTAATCCACATATCATACAATTCAATAGTTCAATTGTTCAATCATATCAAGACGAATTAAACAATCATTACTTCAATCAATTTTAGAACATTTCCCCCATAGTTAAATTGCCTTTAAAATGAGCTGTGTATTCACAATCAGTTCTAGTGCTCCCTCCTTCTCCCACCTTCATTGTTTGCTCCCCACATGCCCTCACCCTCCTTATCTCCCATCCCCACCCCTATTTGCCCTATACACCCTAGCATCAGTTATTATCTCTATGCATCCACTCCTTCTGTGCTTCACAAACTGGGAAACCAAATAGAAACCATACAAAACCAAACCAAAATAAAGTGTAAGGCTAAAATAATAATAATACTGTAAAGATAAAAATACAAATAACGAGTAAGAAAGGAAAGGCCACCCTACCTAATTACAAAGCAAGGGAAGAAACTTTTGTCATCGTGCATGCAGGAGGTACTTGCACCTAGAACAGATTCAGCTTGGGTCAATCAGGAGGTCAGCTGACCAAGTTCCAGATTCGATCCAGTATAATCAAGATCACAGTGATCTCTTTCTGCTAGTAAGGCTGTTCGCGACGCTTGGCTGTGGCTAGTGGGGGTCTGCCAGTGGCTTAATCGAACTAGTTACTCTGCAGATGGGTTTTGGGTTCCCAGTGCCCTCCAAAGCGTTCTACCAATTGGGTGTTCATAATTTTAGCTCTGAAACTTTCCCATTGTCATAGTTGAATTTTGTCATTGTCATCGTTGGATCACACAAGCTGGTGTGCTTGTTCCATGTGGACTTACTTGACTCCTAGTTTAGATGACTTCTTGTTTGAATACAGTCTTTTAAAACCCCAGCCACTATTTTTATTGATAGCCAGGCCCCATCTGCTTTCTTCACCACACTTTGCTGTGGCACCCTTATCTTAGTGATCATTCCATGTGGGTGGCTATTCCATGCAGGGCCATGTAATCAGAACTAACTGTTCTTGTATTGGGGCTGGAATTAAGTAGGATCCCAGAGTCTATCTGCATGTCCATGGGATATGCACGACTTAGGATTCTTTGGCAGCCATAATATGACAAAATCAAAACCCCATAAAACCAACTACACCAATAAAAGCAACGAACTAACCAGCAAGCATACAAATAGAAAAAAGAAAAAGAAAATAAACAAGCTAAAAGCAAGAAAACAAACACCCAAAAATAAAAAAAGCACAACACTGCCAACTATCCCCCTGGGGCATGAGGATTGCCCTGATAACATTGCCAATGTTCTCAGTGACACAGCCCTCTGGACACTGTTGGAATGAGGAGTCTAAGTGAGTACGTTTCCACCTTGAGCTGCAACCCATGAGTTGTTGCCCTACACGGTTCAAGCTCCCATTGGATTGAGCTCTGCTGACTCTAAGCATGGGGATTGGTGCCACGGGGGACCTTCCTGAGCCAATTCTTCCAAGTGCAGATCCTTGCCCAGCAGATCAAAACCTGCATGTCACTGTGATGAGGGCATCGAGGTATTACATACACGGTGATTCTGGGACCCTTTCCATTGGACACCCACCAAACCAGGGGTTTCCCCCAAGGTCCAATGACTGCCACTTCCACAGTCCCAGGTCTGCTTCTTCTCCCATTCCAGTACTCCTTAGTGCAAGGATTGGAGGCAGGGTTCAGGGTTCAGTTCAGCCAGTCGGGCCTTTATGTTAAGTCCTTCTGGTGTGGCCCCTGCGTTATGCCATGCTGTCTGCCAGGTCAGCTTCCACGATCATCATGGTGCTCAGTCCATGGCATGGCTCACCGGAGGCTGAGTAGAAATGTATTCATAGTCTACCCAGAAACATAAAATCTGGCCCATTGTTCCCCTAGGTTCCCTACAATCATTGTTTAGCTTCCCTTCCTGAGGTGAGGTTGCTTCCATACTCCCCAACAGAACTATCAGTGTCTCATCCAAAATGTAGATGGTCCCCTCCCCTGCTCTTAGCTTGATTTTCCAGCCTAGCTTCTCCTCCCAGCCTTGTCTCGATGTTGTACAGCTTCCAGCAGATGGTCATCTCCCATTCCCCCCTCTTGAAGTAGTAACCCTGCGGGGTACCAGCCTCCACAATTGAACAGGCCCAAAGGGCAGTTGTGTAATTGAGGGGTAAAATTAAAGAGACATCATGTAAGATAAAGCATGCAAGCGCTCACCTTCGGAATAGCCATGATCTCAGCAGCCAGGTCTGTGCAGAGGGTGCTAATAATTTCCAATCAAGGCTTAGATACACTTAGGGGACGTGCAAGCCCCCCTAATTACAGCTAATGACATACGTAACAGGAAGGGGTTGTACAATAGGCATACATACAACAGGAGGGGCGAGCTAGGGGTGTACATGCAATAGGAAGGGGAGGCACTGGGGGTATACATGTGACAAGTTGGGCGGGCTCTAGGTTCAGGAGGGCAGCCTAACTTTGGTCCTCCCTGAATTGGCTTGATCTTGTCTTTGGGCTCTTCTTCAGGGGAACAATCCGTTATCCTTATCAGAAAGGATTGGGCCTTACAGGGTCTGATTGCTCTGGATGGATGATAACCCTCAGGGAGAAAACCTTTAAGCAGTTGACCTCCAAGTGTATGGTCATTGACTATGGGTTAGCAAGCAACACCTTAGGTTTGGCATATAATCTCGGGGGACAACCTGGGGAACAACCTCTCTGTTTCCCACATGACCCCAGGCAGTGTGAGGTCGCCTGTTGGTTCTTGTGAAGTAAGCAAAAGGGAGGCGATGCATGGTTAATGGCTGGTAAGGTAGCCTTCTTAACTTTTGTTCAGGAATTGGTTTCTAAGATTTATTTAACTGGTGTTTCTCCTTGAAGTAGTGGACTCCTACAATATTGTCCTCTTGTGATTGACTGACTTCGTTCAGCATCATGGTTTCCAGGTCCTTCCGTGTCATGTCGTGTTTCATACTTTCACCAGTTTTCAGGGATGCAACGTATTCCATTGTGTGTATGTACAGTACCATGGTTTCTTTATTCATTCTTCCGTTGTTGGGTGTTTGGCTGCT